ATTCGCTGTTATTTATGTTTAACGGAATGATACTCGTTACCTCTCTTTTTGAAAGCACTGGTCGGCTCATAACTCACAGAGTAAGTGGTAAGTTCCAAATTGCACTGAATAATGCATTCCTTACAACTTAAAATCAGAATAAAAATCAGAAAACTTATAAAAATATAATAAGAAAAATTCTTACCCTCTCCATGGCGTCCTCATTGTAGGCGAGATAATACAGACACATAGAACATCCTGTGGCGGCAACTGATGGGCGTGGCACCTCTAGTAACCGCTGGACACCGTTATGGGTGACAAATTCTGTGGCAAACTTTTTGTGGCAAAGAAGAGATGCCAAATACTGAAAAGACATTAAAATAAGATTGTTTTTAAATTTTTATTCTTTTTTTTTTTTTTTTTCAGATCTCATTCGGTACAGTGCAGGTTGTTTTCAAGTGGTGTTTATCAAGAGTGAAAAAAGTGGGAGAATTTCTAAAGGTTCGTTGACACAAAAGACACAGTTGTAGGTGAACTGCGTAAATCGATCGTAGGGCGCTTCCGACCCAGAGAAAATCGAGAATCGGAGTCGTAAGTGGAGTCAGAAGCTTCTGATTCCGCTTAGAACTCAAATGCTTACGATCCAGAGAAAACTAGCTTGTTGGAATCATGAGCAGTGCCAGTTCTCATGGCATCCGATGGCTTATGAACCCAGCAATTGACTTTTCACATATCAAAAGCAACGAGGTCTTAAGCGGCATCTGTACTCTGCTTCTGACTCCAACAGTTTGATTTTCACAGGATCACATCGCTCTGCGCTTCTTGTAAGGACACCTCCGTCAGTGAAAATCAACTTTAATGACATAAACCCCATGAAATTCTAAACGTAAAACACAAACCAAGACCACACTGTCTCATTCATACCTTAAGGGCTTCAAAGACAAGTTGTAGGTCCACTTGGCCTTTCAATGTAATGTAGTGCATCACAAGATCCAGGGCTTTAGATTCGAACACAGTTGGCAACAGCTGAATTGAAATGTTCAAAACAAAAATGTGTCCAAATGAAGAAAGGAGGTAATTTCTAAAGAAACTGTAGTGCTGACTTGGTGATGAGCATTACGAGATAATTTAGTTAATCAACAGAGTTTAAAATGCAAATCGGCAACCCCAAGAGTGTCGACGTTTCGAGCGTTAGCTTTTTGCTCTGACAAAGGGCTAACGCTCGAAACGTTAGCTTTAGTACTCTTAACGGTGGCCAATTTACAAGATGGGTTAACTTTATCTCGTGGCAATGCTCTGGTTGAACCACACACATTTTACATTCTTGGACCGGAATTAATACTGTATTTCAATAATTAGTTTTAAGCAACTTGCAATCTGTCTGAATCTTGATCTAGAACAGCAGGAGATCAATAAACCCTTTTGTGTTTACTAGCCTAACACTTGCGAGGTCTAAGGTAAAATACTGACCTCTGGGTTACACTTCTGAGACTGACAATGGCCAAAAAATGTTCTAATGTTACCTTGTGACACTTTTAATAAAACTTTATCATAAGGACAACTATTATCACAAGATGATCACAACGCACTTCAATGGTAAAGAACTTTGAAAGCTCTTACTGTTCTTTATATCACATGAAACATGAAATGCAAAATTGTCTCGCAATAGCACAGACCTCCTGATATTCCCCCAGGGGAGTCAGATACTGTAGGATTATTCTCTGCTGCATGCCAAGGGTCAGGGGGGAGAGGGAAAAGGACATAGGGACTATGTGGTACCCTCCCTTAGCTGAACAAATTGCATTTCCATTTGAACGGAAACCCTTGCTCGTCTTTACTGGCGATGGATGTTTAGTTTGTAGACAGCTTTTACCTGAAACAAAAAAATATTTACCAATGAATATAACGGAAAGTGAGCCAGCTTGTACAGAACAAAATACCTGGCATACCTCCTTCTTTCCATCCCCTCCCTCCCTCCCCCATCATACAAAAAGAACAACAAAATGGAAGGAGGGGGGGGGGGCAAGAATTAGGGCAAAGCACTAACATATCATAATCTATTCTCCACCCAATAATAAGAATGGGTGAAAAAAAAAATGTTGGGGAACACTTCTCATTATCCGAGTTATTGTAACCAGGAGAAGGGTTAGAGGTGTAGA